GTCCCATTTTGTTCACCTAGAGACTGAGGGGAGAAATCTCTCCCAAAGTCATGTCAGATGCAAAGTTTGTCCAAATCTTGGTCTCCTGACTCCCACCTAGGCCTCCACTGTCCTTCCTCCCACACACTCACCACCCATTCAGATGTCCAGACAAGCTGAACAGAATCCTTGGGGCCCAGGACCCAACTGTTCTTCTCCTTTCTGTGAGACGGGCTCCACCCCTAGGGCCAGCATAGGACCCCCTCCTTATCACCCCCATTGGGCTGTGGTCCCCAAAGCCTGTCCAGTTCTGTCTCAGTACCCGCTCCCTAACTTGCCCCACACCACAGGCCTGGGAAGAGCAGTGCGGAGCCCAGAACTTAGAGTAAGCCAGAGGGGGCTTAGCCCATTGGTAGGGTTCATCCCGGGAAGGGAAGGAGGTGGGCTGGCCTCTGCTTCAGGTCAAATGCATCAGCACAGAGGACAGTGGCCCGACTCTTAGAAACACCTCAAGTCGAAACTCAGAAATGGCCTCTCTCAGTTCGGTCTCTCTGCCCAGGGTCAGAAAGGCCAATCTGGCTTCCCCCTCAGCCTGGGAGGCCCTGGTGTCCTTCCTGGGTGTGGGGCTGCCCTAATGCCCTCACCTCTGTTCTGGGTGGGGGTCCCCAGCCACTACATGGGAGCATCTGTTTAATCATTGCGCTCCCCCTCCTGCTGTCTGCGCAGGAACAAGCCATCTAAGGAGCTGGTTGAACCAGCCTTCCCACTTCTGCTCAGGGAGACACCTGCCCCAGTGGGCCCCCAGCAGGCCTGGCCATCTCCCCTGCCCTACTCCTGCCCCAGAGCTCAGAGTCAGAGCTAAGGTGTCATTCTGCTTCTGAACCAGACCCACCCCAAGAGTCCCTTCCCACCCACTCCCTCGAAGACCCGACCTTCCCTTGTTTTACAGACCAGGAAACTAAGACCCAGAGAGACAAAGGCACTCCCCAGGGATGCACAGCAATCTAGGGGCAGAGCCAAGACTAGCACTCAGGTTTGTGTTTCGTGGAGTTCAGAGGAGGAAGAAGAAAGGTAGAGATGAGAAAAAAGAAAAAAAAAAACAGGAAGAGGAAGAGGATATAGTGAGGGGAGAAAGGAGGCTGGGAGCTAGAGAAGTTATAGAAGTCAACCTCTTGGTAAAGGAAAGTAAGGGCAGCTTACCCCAGGCCCTCCCTGGTGGTGGTGGGTGACATGTTTCCTGTTCCCCAGGCTCAGTCCAGAGGTCTGCCTCCTGGCCCCACCCAGAGTCAAACTCCCCACCAAGCCAGGCCTGACCTCAGGGCCCAAGGGCCAGGGAGCCAGCTCCACGCCCTGCATACGAGTTACCCAGCAGCCCCAGGGAGGATCACACCTCTCTCCTGACATCTGCCCTCCTAGCTGTCCCCAGGACTCAGGCACCTGCTGGGGCAGTCACTGGCTGTCTCCTCAGGCAAGAAGAGAAGCCAGGCTTGGGAAGCAGGAGTTGGATAGGCCATGTGGGCAGTGCCCTGGACCCCTGATTCCGCAGCCTGGTCCAGCCAGGGTGCCCCTGTGTGACCCAGGATGAGTCATTTCCCCGGCAGTTCCTTGACAGCCCCAGCAGTAACAGGCAGAGGCCCATCCTGTCCCTCCCCCACGGAGAGGGTCATGACAACTGAAAACATGGCTAGGCTTGGGAAGTGGCCAACATGGACGTGTCCTTGGGGAGGTGGCAGGAGGAAAGGACAGTCCCAGCCGGGCCACAGGCTGTGCAACCACTCTTCTGTGGACCTAACTCCTTCATCCGCAAAATGGGGACAGGGATCTTCCTGCACACAGACAAGACGCTCATAGAGAGAATACACAGTGGTGAGAGTAACTTGCAAAGCTGCAAAGGTGGGGAGGTGAACTTGCAAGGGGCAGAAGACAGGCCCCCACTCTGAGCTCTTGTTATCTGGGTTGGGTCTCTGTCTCCCAAGGGCCTACCAGCTCCTCAAGGGCAAGGCCTGGGGCCTGGTCATCTGTGTGTTCTCAGAACCCAGCATGACACCATGCATGATGGGTAAATGAGATCCAGAGAAAATGAATGAACTGACAAGAAGGTAAATATCAAGCTCCATGAGGACAGAGACCAGGCCTGTGCACAACAATATTCCTGCACCTAGAAGCACATTTGCACAGATACAGAGTTGATACTCAACATGTTTGTTTGTTTGTTTGTTTTAGAGACAGGGTCTCACTCTGTCACCCAGGCTGGAGTGAAGTGGCACAATCGGGCTCACTGTAGTCTCAACCTCCTGGGTCCAAGTGATTGATCTTCCTACTTCAACCTCCCAAAGTGCTGAGATTACAAGCATAAGCCACCATGCCCAGTCCAACACATTTGTTAAATGAATGATTGAGACAGAGAAATAAAGATAAGTTGCTCCATTCTATCCAGGCCATCCCCATCTCCCCAGGGCCCAGCAGAGAGTCAGACTCAGGATGGGTTTCCTGCCTGCACTGGGTCTTACCTTTCTGTAGGTGGATGATGTCAGGGAAGTTAGAGAGCAGGCCCTGGTAGAGAGACAGTGTGTCCAGCATCTGGAAGAGGTCATTCTTGGGCTGCTCAGCAAACATCTCCCCGATGGCTTCATAGGTACGGCCCGTGTGAGAAATGGCACTGTTGAGGGCCTCAGAGCAAAAAGGGGGGTCCATCTGGAAGGAATGACTGATGGCCTGGAAGGCACTGCCCAGCTTCTGGAATTCCTTGCGGAAGCCCCCCACGTGTTTACGCACCAGCTCTGACGCCACGGTGCTGAGCTGCAGGACACTGTCGTCCATCTTCTTACTGAAGGCCTTGAAAGTGTCCACGCGATCTTCCACGTCCTGCAGGTCCTGGTGCTCGGTGGGGATCTGGAAGGTGAGCAGGAAGCTGGCACCCACCATCTCATCCTTCTCCGCCCGGCGTTTGCCCATCTTCCACTGCTTGTCATCTAGGCAGCTAAGGAAATGCTGGAAGCCTTCGTACTGGGAGAGCACAGGGTGGCTGGTCATGTGGTCCATCCAGAGGATGAGTCTCCGCTTCCGCTTTTCAATGAAGTCCTCCTCGAAGCGGCCTGTGGCCTGCTTCTCAGGCAGGTGGGGCACTGAGATGACAGTGAACTTGTGTAGCAGGCGGTTATAGAGCCAGTCAAAGTGTTTGTAGCGCCGGTAGACAGGTGAGGCAGCATGGGTGGGTGTGAGCTTGTAGGAGATGTAGCTTTTGATGCCCTTGAACTTGGTCTGTTTTGTGGGGTCCTCCACAGAGCAGGCAAATGGGTGGGGGTTGGCCTTCCACTGGGGGCCACGAGGGCCCATTTCAATGGAGTATGTCTCAGCGATCTTGGCCATCATGGGCACATCACCCAGGATGAAGGCCTCCACTCCAGAACGCACAAAGCATGAGAAACGGTTGAGGTTACGGCCCACCACACTGCCTCGCTTGGCAGATGCCAGGCTGTCCTGCCGCTCCAGCGGTGGCTTGGGCCGGAAGGCCATGTGCTGGCTGGGGTAGGCACCAGGGTAGGAGAGGTTGAGGGGAGGGTGCCCATTGGTGCCCAGCCCACCAGCCCGTGGCTCCTCCACCACTGTGCATCCATCGTCCCAGTCATCCCAATCATCATCATCATCCTCCTCGAAGCTACCCTGGTTTGAGAGGAAGCCACTGCCCCCACCACTCCTAGCTGGGTTGGCCACACTGGGGCTATTGTACAAGCTCACGTGGGCCCCTGGAGAGCCTGCAGGGCTGCTGGAGTAGTCAGCATGGTTGGTGCTGATGCCAGAACGGACGATCTCCACGTAAGAGGCAGGAAAGAGCCCTGTCTCCCCACGGCTGTTCTGGCCCTGCAGCCAGCCATCCAGTGAGATCTCGCTGAAGATGACCAGGTCCTCATCCTGCTGGATGCTGATTTCCTCCTTGTTCTCACTGTGAAAGTCATAGAGGGCTCGGCCTTTCAGTGTCATGGTTGGGCTGGGTGGTATAGACAGATGGGAAGGAGAGGGTCCTGTCCAGACCCGGGATGCTCACAAGGAAGTCCAAGAATGCACTCGCAGCTGAATGGCGCTTACACAGTTCAATCTCTCAGGTCCTAAGGTGGGGTCTCAGCACCCACAGATGCTGTCCAATCTCCCGCTCTTCAAAGCAATGTCCACGGCCCAGAAACTGCCCTATCAGGTCTCCGGCATATGCTTGTGAGCAGGGAGGGCTCATGTCCATAGCCTCCTCCCTTAGCAGCCCCTGGGGGATTAGAGGGGAGTCTCTCCTAACTCCTACTCCCAGAAGAAAAGTCAAGTGACCTGGAGAAATCTGCCCTGCGAGGGGAAAAATTCGACACTTTCCACTGGAACAACGTTCTAAAATAGAAGAGACTCACTCGGAAACCACCATTCCAGAAACCCAGGCAGGGCTCGGCTGTCCCTCTGGCTCCCAGATTCTTTTGGCCACTCTCGCTTTGGGAGGCTCTCACATTCCTCTGCAGATCTGCCCCTTCCTCCTTCCTCCTCCTCTTGCTCCTGGGCCACTGGGTTTTCAAATATCCGGAAAATCCAAGAGGGGCAAGGAGAAAAGCAGCAGCCGCCTGAATCGAGTCCAAGGGTGGATGTGTCCGGCTTCACAACGAGCCAGGCCGGGAAAACAAGGACTGAGGCTTACACAACAGGCCGCCAACTCTTCGACCCCGGCTGCGCAGCCAGAGCCCCCGCCGGCTCGGGCGCCCTCTCCCCGCCCCAGAAGTGGCCAGTCCCAACCCCGGAGGAAGGAGGGGGCGCGACAAGGCGGTCGGGCGACTTCTGGCCAGTCGCTGAGTGGTCTCTTTTGTTTGCCTAATTCCTCAGCAGTTTCTGAGACTGACGCTGACCCTGCTCTGAATCCCAGGAACCCCGTCCAAAGGTAACCCCAGCAGAAACCAGTTCCTCACCCGGGACTTACGACCCCCGACCCCCACCCTCGCGTGCACGCACACACTCAACAGTTTGGAGTTTGGAGAGTGAGCTCCGGCGAGCAGATGGCGCGGCTGGCCGTCTGTCCGTCCGTCCTCCGCTCCGCCCTGCGGGGCCCGGCCAGTGGGGGGCGGGCTGCGCCCCCAGCCTGCCTTCCCCTGCGCTCGCAGACCCTCCGCGCCGCCAGCGAGAAGGCAGCTCCAAAACAAAAACGCGATTCCGGGAGGTGGCGTCCCGAGGAAGGAGGGGATCGCCAAAGGGGAGGTGAGGGGTGGGGAGAGGGAGGAGGGAGGGGGAAGCAGGCTGGAGAATCGGGCAAACTCCGCTGCACTTCCGTGCGCCCCGGCGGGGCAGGGACGGCCAGCTCCGCCCTCCCGCGGGCCCGGGGCGCAGCAGCCGAGCCCCCGCCTACTCCTCCGCGCGGCTTCCCATCTGGCCAGTGCCCTCGCTCAGTCCCGGAGGCAAGAGGGAGGAAACGACCCGGGAACGAGGGAGCCCGAGAGCCTCCGGGGCTGGTCTCTGGGACCGCCACCTCCCCTGCTCTCCCTCCGTCTGTCTGCCCTCGCCGGGAGACACCTCACGCCCCCGTGGTTGGAGCGCCCGGCGGTGGAGCTTGCCAGCCACTGCTGCCTCGCTTCCTGGACTCCGTCATCCTCCTGCCTTTTCCGTGACGCAAATGGAGTAAAACTCCCAAAGTTTGCAAAGCGTGGGGCTGCAAGGAGCACCGCGCCAGAGCCAGGATGGGGAAATCGGGCCGGGCGGGGAGAGGTGCGTGAAAAGCCGTGCCAGCTGGGGTTGGGGAGCAGAGTCGCGGGCTCGCCTTCCCACCTTCCCATTCCCCACTCCTGCTCCGCAGGGACGGGGTCGTGGCGCAGCTCGGAGATTGTTTTCCGGAGGGGTAGAAACGGCCTGCGCGTTCCGGGCGTCTGACCTAAGATACCGACAGCTGAGGGTGCAGCACCCTAGCCAGATAGGGCGACCCTGCCCTGGGCGACTAGCTTGGAAGGAGGGAAAGACACTACCCTACATCTGCAGCGACAGGGAACAAGTCTAGGTGCCACCCAGTTCCGTGTTGCTTAGTGCGGCAGCGGGACTGGATGTTCTGTACTAGCCAGGGGCAGCAAGGAGAGAGGTGGTCAGGTAGAGAGTCTTGAGGCAAGTGGGATCTGATCCTCGGTCAGCATATCTGGAACACTTTGGGCACTGACTCTGCTAGGCACTGTGCTGGGCACTGGGGAGTACACCACAAGTCAGTCGGGGTTCCCATCCTGGGGGGCTTACAGTCCATCCTCTCTTGTCTTTAATCAATCCATTCTCAGTCATTCATTCAGCCAAGTCATGCACTCAAGAAACATTAACTGAGTATCTACTCTGCACCAGGCCCCTGAGCTACAAAGACAATTAAGACATTATCCTTATTTTCCAAAAGCTCAGATGTGTTGTGACAAGTAGACAAATGCTCCCTGCCCAGTGTGACTAGTCAGTGCCATGAAAAGTGCACATGAGGATACCTACTCCAGCCTGGGTGGAGCAAGGATCAAGGAAACCTTCCTGAAGAAGGAGGTGCCTAAGATGAGGCAAAGGCTTCAGGAGGATCCCCTTTCCTGGCTGTACCCTGGAGTCTTGTCTGCCCTGTCCAGCTAGATCTTCCCTTCATTCTCTCTCTAGTCACTTATTGCAGATTAACTGGTACAAGGTAGTTCTGCTAAAGATGGATACCTTTGGCTGTTTTGAGGGACATGGTTCCCAGACCTCTGGCCCCAAAACCCAGTTTCACTGGTTGAGTGAGTGCATCCGACTAGCTTTGCAGGTCTGGCATTTGACCAGAATAAAGGCCTGTGTACAAACCCCAGAAGGCTAGGTATTAATTTGCACAGCGAAATAAAACTGTCAAGCAGAACTGAATTTCTGCATCAATAGATCAAGGCAGTTTGGGCTACCCCTTGGGAAGCCCAGTTACCAGAAAGTTAGCTCAGTGAGTCCAGAACCTCCAAGAGGGGAAAAGGTATGACGAGTCTCTTAGTCAAGTAACCTTAAAACCTTGTTTCCTGTCATGGGGCAGCCTTGATTCTAAAGACACAGTTCCTCCTAGCATCTCTAAGACTGAATATATGTTTTCCCCACATGCTTTTAGGACCCCTCTTCCCTGTGATCTATCTTCTGTCCACATAGCCTTTCTCTAAACTGAGTTTAACAATAGCATCAGGGCAGGGTGCAGTGGCTCACACCTGTAATCCCAGCACTTTGGGAGGCCAAGGCAGGTGGATCACTTGAGCTCAGGAGTTTGAGACCATCCTGGGCAACATGGTGAAACCCCGTCTCTACTAAAAATACAAAAATTAGCTGGGCGTGGCGGCGTGTGCCTGTAGTCCCAGCTACTCAGGAGGCTGAGGCAGGAGAATCGCTTGAACCCAGGAGGCCAAGGTTGCAGTGAGCCGAGATTGCACCCGCCACTGCACTGCAGCCTAGCGACAGAACAAGACTCCATCTCAAATTTTTTTTTTTACTCCACTTTCCCCACCAGCTATTGCCCCATTCCTCTGCTCACCTTTGCAGCAAAATTCCTTGAAATAACTCTCTCTCCTAAGTGCGTCCAATTTCTTTTCTCCTGTTCTCTCTTTAAATCCCTCTAGCCAATCTTTTACTCCCACACTCCACTGAACTATTCTTGTCAAGGTCATCAATATCCTTGGTGTTGCTGGACCCTAATGGTATTATTCTCAGTCCTTCTCTTATTTAACCTTTTGGTAGCATTTGACCTGGTTGATCACTCCTTCCTCCTGGATACACTTTCTTCATTTGCATTGGAGAGAACATACTCTCCTGATATTCCTTCTGCCTCACTGGTTCATCCTCTTCTCTCCAATAATTCTTTTTTTTTTTTTTT